GGAAACCTGGGAAGGATCCGTCCTCTCCTTCAAGTTATCGACCAATCAGCCTTCTCTCAGGGTTATCAAAACTGTTCGAAAGAGCAGTGTACCACCGGCTCCTAACATCTGCCGATGAAAACAACTTGTTACTCGAAGAACAGTTTGGTTTTCGGAAAGGTCGTTCGACCGTCCACCAGCTGACTCGAGTAACAAACATTCTCAGACGGAACAAGTCTGTTTCGAAAACATCTGCATTGGCGTTGTTGGACGTTGAAAAAGCGTTCGACAATGTCTGGCATGATGGTCTGGTGTTCAAATTGCAGCAGTGCGGTCTTCCAATCTTCCTAGTGAAGATAATAAACAACTATCTATCATCCGAGTCTCTCTGAATGGCATCACATCGGATGCTTTCAACATCGGTGCCGGGGTTCCACAAGGAAGCATCCTTGGCCCCATCCTATTTAACCTGTTCACCTCCGATATGCCGGCTCTCCCTGATGGTGGATCATTGTCTCTGTTCGCAGATGACACATCCATCGTCTACAAGGGTAGGGTCATCGGAGCTCTGACTGCCAAACTTCAGAGAGACCTAGACGTCCTGTCTGAATACTTCAACAGCTGGAAAATCCGTATCAACGCGGCAAAGACCCAGGTCATTATCTTTCCACACTCTAAATCTCCTAGACTTGTTCCGTCGGAGAATAACAAGATCTGCCTGAACGGCACAGTGGTGGAATGGTCCAAAGAGGTCGTGTACCTCGGGCTAACATTAGACAGCAAGCTTCTTTTCAGGGAGCACGTTGATAAAACAAAAACCAAGTGCAACATCTTGATAAGATCGTTGTATCCACTTATCAATAGGAAGTCAACCCTGTCCCTGAAAAATAAGCTTGCTGTCTACAAACAAATTATCCTTCCTGTAATCGAGTACGGTATGCCAATCTGGGAGAGTTGCGCAAAATGCCATCACCTTAAACTCCAGAGGATCCAAAACAAGATCCTTAGGATGGTCCGAAACAGTCCCCCGCGGACTAGAAATTCTGAGATCCACCTCCTGGCTGGAATTCAGACATTAGAAGAACGGAGAGTATTCATCCTGGAAAGGTTCAGAGACACTTGTCTCATCAGATCATACGTGATCTAGCACGTTAGGTTAAATTATACTCGTAGTTAGGTAGGTAATCACTTTTTTTCAATTCAAATAAAACAAATCCCCAAAGGGGTATTCTGTAAACTAGTTGGAAAACGCAAATATTAAATTAGAATATCAAATTAAACAAAGATGAAGAGCCAGATAGGCTAATCAATTAAAATGATATATCTATGCAAATCAACAGAAATAAACATAATTTTACTACTTAAAAAAAGGAAATTGAGCAGTACGTTCCGGCTCATGGCCATGCGAGTCATGAGTGCGTACAGAACCATTTCGATGGAGGCAGTATGCGTTATCGCCGGTATGATCCCAATCGGCATCACCTTGGCGGAGGACTACGAGTGCTATATGACGAGAGAAACCAGAGAATTACGAAAAATGGTGAGAACGGGGTCGATGGCTAAGTGGCAGCAGGAGTGGGATGCAGCAGAGAACGGTAGATGGACACACAGGCTAATACCGATTCTTTCGACCTGGGTGAACAGGAAGCATGGAGAAGTCAACTTCCTCTTGACGCAGTTCCTGTCTGGTCATGGCTGCTTCAGGAAGTACCTGCATCGGTTCGGACACACAACGTCACTCTTCTGTCCGCAGTATGGCAAAGTGGAAGAATCACCAGAGCACGTGGTCTTCGAATGTCCTAGATTTGATGCTGTGCGAGAGGAGATGCTCGCCCTTAGCACGGAGAATGTCGTCGAAGAAATGTGTCGAGAGGAGGGTACCTTTAACGCCGTCAGCAGAGCAGTAACGCAGATCATGTCAGTGCTGCAGCAAAAATGGCGAGAGGACCAGCTAGAAAGTAGTAATGTGCTCATACAAGTGCGAAGTGAAAGCCGAAACCGGGAGGCTCAAAAATTGGAGAGACGACCAGCGACCTGGATGCGCCAGTTAGCTGAGGTAAAGTGAGGTGCGTAATGCACGGCCCCCTCCGAAGTAATACGACAAGTGGTTCCGGGGGAAAAGGGCAAGGTGTCCAAGGAGGTCTTAGTGCGGTAAGGATCTCACACACCGTGTCATCGCGACTGTGCGCCCAGTCGTCAAGCGGTGGCACGATGGCCTTTTGAAAGTTTCCTCCTTGCCAAAAAAAACGCAGAAGTTGTGTTGTTCAAGTGATATCGTAGCCTTTCGGTACACCTTGGTGTACGAGAAAGGCAAAAAGATTGGTATCAGCAAATTGTGTCGCCTTCTACTTTTTGTTCCTGATGAGTCGCTTTAGAGAACCATTTTCACTGGGTCGTCGTCCGGGATTCTTACGACGTGCCCAGCCTACCATAGTCGCCCAATTTTTGCAGTGTAGACGATGGATAGTTGTCCCAGCAGCTAATGTACTTCGTGGTTCATTCAACTTCTCGACGTTCCGTCATCCATCTGCACTCCACCGTAGATGATACGCAGCACCTTCCGTTCGAAAACACCAAGGACGCGTTGGTCCTCCACTAGCATAGGCCAGGTCTCGTTGCCGTAGAGGATCGCCGGTCTAATCAGCATCTCGTGCGGCTGCGAATTATATTCGACCAGAGTCCAAAGTAAGCTTAAGAGGTTCGACAAATTTAAAAGATATTTAAAGTTTCGTTTATAAATTATTATTTTTCATATTGATAGGTATATTGTGCTGTTGAAGTACTGGAAGTACAAAACCTACATCCATCTAGGATTAAAAAAATTCAATTATGAAATCACATTTAAAAATTTTGAACAATTTTGGTAAATGTCTTTTGCAATATTCTCAGATGTTTGTCTACTATTCGAAACGTTACTTTCTCTGGGAAAACAATCAGCTCATTTTCAGCTCCTGTGGAACAAATGCTGTGTAAAGAAAATGAACTGAACTTTTTGCTCAGATACTAGTAAAGGTAAATAGAAACGGAATTTTGGATAGGGAACTATACTCTGAGAACAAAACCGCAAATATGACCTAATGCTCAGTATCGTGCTCGCGACACTTAAAAATACAAGATTTATCAACTGCATAGAACACTGTCATTATATTTTTAAGTGTATTTTATTTGTTTATTTATTTTCATCAACCGATTTACGCCGTTCATCTGCTTTAATCATTTCATGGCAACTTTCCATGACCAAATCAGATAACTCTGATGCGTTATTTCCAAAAAATTAAGGCAATTTATTTTAATTAGACTAGAAATTTGTCATGCAGATCATTGTCGTTGTTCATTTCCGGAGCTTTTCCGAATTGCTGAATTTCCTGCCAACACTCTACCGCTGCGTTGCAATTTTTTGGTCTGACGCTTGTAGCCATGGCCAGCACCTTTTCGTGGTTGTGACACATAATCGTCGACCTCGCTCAGCATTTCATCTCAAATATTGGTACCGATATTCTCTTCTCTTAAGAACAGAACAAACAGGACTGAAAATGTTTGCGTGTCAAAATGCAAGCCCTGCTCGTCGCAAGTGGTCTCTCATTATACCGGCAATTCTGCTGAAACAGGTGACTTTAACGACGCCTAATGGTAGGTTATCTCATTTCATATTTTATGATTGCAAATGTTGTTCTTCATAAAACTCTTCTTGTGATGTGATTGTTAGTCGATGGCAGCCAAATTGGTGTACAAAAAACCCTACCAACTTATAAGTGAAGACATCTTTTTCTTTATGGTTATTGCTTTTCATCGGGAACGTTATGCCTGCTCTCATATTAGTATTCTTTCAGCACTTCCACTGTTATTAATTGTGAGTTTTCTAAGCAATCACAATGCTACTCGGAAGTCAATACATTTCCAACCCCAAAACATCCTTTATGGGATCGGGAATCGAACACGGGTCCTCTAGCATGGTTTTTCTTTGTTTGTACGGTCAGCCACTTCCTGCTCAAACACCATCGCAACTTCAGTATAATATGCTCCAGTCTGTGTTGATTGGTAGGTGCCATTTAAATGACCGCACTGCACCGATTTTACGGCGATCACCTGCTGCATACGGTATAAGCCAAGTGAGTGGGATCCTTCTTTGTCTTTTATGTTAGGAAAAAGCGATGCCAGACACGGAGGTCTCTGACTTTGTCGTCTGACAAGGTGTGGTTTGAGGAGAATCAAAGTCAACAACTTGATGTGGCTCTAACTAATCCGGCAATTGATAGCGGAATGAAAGCAACGGTCATACGATCAGTCAGCTGTTTTGAACATACTTTATACCTTTAAGATTGAGATGAGTAGCGTAAATGGGGGGCCGAAGTCACACGCTCTACTACCCGGACGCATGCATATTCATCAACAACTGAATCGAAACGCGTAGGGGACTCAAATGTATTTGGGGTTTCTTTGCTCAAACCTAAACTCAATTGAGTTCAGTTCATGCATGCTGCTGATTTACAAGAACTCTCATTGATGAGTGAGTTCCAGTGCGGTAAGATCGATTCAGTTAGTAGATGTTGTGATGTACGTAGGAGGGTGAGAAATCTAAAATAGTATTTACTTGACTTGTGCTTGACAATGATGGCGAGAGGGCCAATGAATGCTCTACTCAGCTATCTAAATACTCACGAAAATCCACATCTTCCGTGTTTGTCATCTCTGTACATATCCTACTTAGTTACATCGTTAGGGTGAATTCAATACTTATCATCCCAAGTAAATTAAGAACAGTACCATCTTAACTCACTCGCTCAGTTGCACTAAGTCGTCGCACTCACTTCGAGTTGAGATACTTACGTCTTTGTTCCAATCCAACCCAGCAGCTCCCATTCATTCGCATCGAGTGCAACCTCGCGCTTCCGCCGCACCGTCTCAACGGTCGTCACTCACCTACACCACACCACGACCACAGTGCGATTAGCACGTTTCCAACCGACCAACCAGCCATGTGTGTGATAAAGCACCTCGGAGCAAAACTCATTCAGTATTCATCGTCAGTCGGCAGTGCGCGGACCGTCGCGGAAGTTGCGCGCCTGCTTCGATCCAATCCCATCCAACTACCAACAGAAGAGCATTGCACACTGCACAGCCTACTCAGACCGTAGAAAAGAATAGACGGAGATCATAGTAGACCGTCGCCAAGTGCAGCACACTGCAGGCAAGACTTATTCCTACTGAGCTGCAGTGCGCAATCGAATGTTTGAATAATTAATTGAAGAGTGCAAGCAACTTTCTTTTGTTCATCCGGTGTAGTGGATCAGCGATCAGTAGCAAAGTTCTACTCGACGAGTTCAGTTCGGTCAGTTCGTAGTTCTTATCGCACTTCGAGGCGTGAAGAAAGGCTGTTCGCGTGCTGCTGGGTTTTGACTCCCCGGCAAGGTCGGTCGCAGCTGACCCAATTCAGCCTTTTCTCCTCGTGGCTCAGGGTGAGCAAATAAAAAAAGAACGACGACGACGACGGCCGCGAGCATCGATTTGTGAGGAGAAGGAAAGTCAGAGCCAGTTCTCCGGTTTCAATCTCGCTTAGCGTAGGCATTGGCACAAGAGTGTACCGACCGCAGAGTGTGTGCATATGTGCATAGGACAACGGGCTGAGTGTGTGAGATCAAGTTCCAAGTCCATGGTTTTGCACGAACGATTTTTACCCGACAACGAGGAAGATTAACCCAGGGTACGGATCGGGAAGTGAAACGATAAGATATTGAATTTTTTTTCTTAGCTTAATCGAAAAAAATTGCATTCAGGCGTGCCAGAAGCATCGCGATCGAAGGTCGACGGGTTGACAAGTGAAATAAGCACGCCGTGTACGGTGGATAAAGGTACAGAGAAGCCTGGTGGGTGTATTTTTAGAACCGGTACCGTCCGGTGACATGTGGTGAAAAATTTTCATTCACTCGGCAGCAAGTATCCGTGCAACTGCGAAAAAAACGCGAATGTTTGTTGTGGCCGGCAAACAAGGCGAAGAAGAAGTGAAAGTTCAACATCCCCGCCGAGATGGCCGAGTCGTATGAGATGTGTAGTACCAGTAGTAGCAGTAGCAGCAGCAGTAGTAGTCACAGAAATAATACCGATGAAAGTCCCAGTGGAAGCAGTCGGAAGATTGCTGCCCCACTGGCCGAGCAGGAGCAGTTCAAGGAAGCGGAATTGATTCAGATGGAGCAGCACGTGGGTGGAGGACCGGTAGCGAAACGTCCGACCACGTTGGGCTTGCCACCGTTGAAGATACCACTCCACCCACCGGGGTTCGATCATAGTCCTAGTTTGGGTGGAGGATCGACTGCATCATCGCTGGTAGCGGCCAGGTTGTTCAAACCGGTTACCATCAGCTTCAAGGATTTGTCGTACTCGGTGCGGACGGGGATATTTCGAAAAGGTTAGTTCTTATTGATCATGGTGCAATAAGTAGGTGCTCTTTAGAAGGATTCGGAGTGCAACTGTTTTTGTTTTTACAGAATGACTGTAACCGACTTCGTTCAGATGTGACAGTCGCTTTAACTCTTCGAGCACTAAGCTGAAAATGAACTCGACAGTTACAGTATGCAAGTAGAAATCAATCACTTTTATCTTGCTGGTCGAGTCGACAAAAATTGAAAATCTAAAAGTGAACTAACAATTGTACCAACTAGAAAGCCTCAGAGGAAGAGATGAGTGAAGAGAATGTTTTGAGCCAAATGAACTGTCTAAGTCTGAGCTTATCGTACATTCTCATTCGAATTTTTCCGAGGATTTATTATTCTTACTAGATGATATTTGAGAGGTTAACAATCGAATAGAAAATCAATCACCTTTATTTGTCATGTGCTTCTAGAATTCAACTAGGGTTCAAAAATAATAACTTCTTTGATTAATTGATCTTTGTTGGTTAATTATTGCCACAAATCAATGTGCAAAATATTGCGATAGACTCAATTATTATTTTTTACGTACAACGAATTGAAAATGAAAGTCATGTTAAAAGCTAACATTCGACAAGAGTTGCAAGATAATTGACGTACAAACCCTACTGACGAATTGTATTTTGTTTTCTCCGTCCATCTCCCCCTCGGAGGATTTCCATGCAGTACCAACCACCATGTGACAAAGACAAATAAGAAAGGAACTAATATTCATTCCAATAAGATACAATTCTTCTTTTATTTAGGAGATTTTCAACCGTAGGAAAAATCCGAAAGATCTGCTCCACTTTAAGACACATTCAGGTTCTTCCACGATAATCGTTTCACTTCTATTCTAGCGACATACCGAATTTTTGATTTTTGACGTAGGACTACGCCTGTGATTTCTATATGGGGGTACACTTTGTGAAAACCGAAAATGGACTATGTAACAAAATTATGAAAGATTTTGAGCGTTAACAACTCAGCTGCCCTTGGATCAATTTCAATAATTTTATCATCAATCGATCAGAAATATTTCTACACGTCTGTTAAATTTAAAACTTTATCATTTTTCAAAATGTAACTTTTGAAAATTGCACGAATGATAATTAAAATTATCACCGATTGCCTGCAAAAAACGATTTCCCTAACACAGATTTCAAAGTTGAATTCCATTCGGTCACACCAAACGGTTTATTCAATCACCGCGTGGTGAGTGGTGGTGTTCTCCAGTACACAACGAAAGGCTGCCTGCAAGCAGCGAGCTGCAGCCCACATGAGCATCCATAGAAGGAGGATGAAGCCGCACCGCTATTGATCGGAATCAGTAGCTCTTCGTGAGTTGCTGTGAGCCATCTATGTCAAGCGCGTCATACTATAGAATAGAAACAGAGATTCCTATTCCTACACAAAACACAAGCTCCTGCTGCAGTTAACAAATAAGATTTATTATATAAGACCATGTAGTCCTACGTCACCATTGCGTACAACCCCATAGGGTTGTTCCTTGTAGATTTTTTTCCGTCAGCAATCGGAATTGATCAATTTTCAGCCGACTCCACGGATGGAAATTGATCGATTCCGACTCCTCTGATCTGAAATGAACTGGCTCTGACTCCAAGGCCCGTAAACGTTACTTTCGCTCCAGGACTGCTGAAAACAAGTATGGTTCGCAGCTTGCAGAAGCCGAGTACAACAGTTTGCATGAAGTTCGCTGTCGTGAGAATATCGATAACCTCCAGAGTGGCTTCAAAGAAAATCCATCGTCGTTCTGGTCTTTCGTAAACGCTAGCATTCCAGCAGACGGCAGCTACTGTAATCGAAGCTCCTCCACCGATTCCACTTCTGCAAACATCTTCGCTGATTTATTCCAAAGCGTTTTCGAATTCGATCAAACTCCTCAGCAGCAGCAATACATCAACCAGTTACCAAACTACAACATTCGTCTGCAGTAGCTTAAATTCAGCCATGACGCTATTTTCAAAGCTCTTTGCGCGGTGGATGCATCGAAAGGTCCAGGTCCGGATCGACTCCACCGTCTTTCATCAAGAATTGTGCAGCATCGTTGGCCACACCCGTTATGTCTATCTTCCAATTCTGGATGGCGTTTTTCCGGATTCCTGGAAGCTCGCATCAAATACACCGTTGAAGGGCAGGTAACATTCACAGCGTGGAAAACTCTCAACCAACAAACGTCCCATAATTCGTCCCATCATTCGTATCATCGTTGAGTCGCAGCGCTGAACCTAACTATTGACAAGCTCTACCACAAACCGGGCTAGTTAATGTTGGTCTTCATCAAGCGGACCGTCTACAATTTGGACTTCTTCATCAGCACATTTCAAGCTGCCTTTAGGTTCAATTGGCTAAACTTGGTGAGTTTGTTCCTTTATGTTCATTTTTATCTTTTAAAACCAGTACCGCTGGTAGACCACCTTTCCGTAGCGCACTACTGGTATAAGATCTATCACAGAACGCCACGGAATATCAAACTATGGTAAGAGGATTTTTCTGTAAACAAAGGAACGCATTTTAGTCCTTGTTACTTTTTATTATTTTGTTAATATTGACAAGACTAGGATAGCGACCACCCTCGTGATGAGTTTTAAATGGTATAGTACTTTAAATCAAAAAATATTGTTTATTTTCATAGAGTATATATAATCCATTCCCTGTGTCCTTTTCCTTTTCCATCCCTATTCCATTCGTTCTTTTGACGTAGACTACTTCTTACGGGAAGTTACTGGGGGTAAACCGGAAATCTAAAATTACGACCGTCACGAAAAGGTGTAAGGTTTTGAACGCTTATAACTTTGTCATTTATAGATGAAAGTTAAATCCAAATACACCAATCGATAACTCTCACATTTTGCTACAATAAATACTTTTCTAATTTTCTCAGAAAAATCGTAGAAAATGTACAAGTAAAAACTACAAGGGACAGCCCAATGGGGTTATATGCAATGATGACGTAGGACTACGTGGTATGATATAATAAATAGTTTTGTTAACTGCAGCAGGAGCTTGTGTTTTGTGTAGGAATAGGAATTTTAGCGGGGTTCTCTCTGTTTATTTTCTTTAGTATGACTATGATTGCCCTCAGATTAACCAAGGCGCGTACAACCTAGGTGGAAACGCACTACTTACCTGGAACTACCCCAACACAACAAATGAATGCAAATGATTGTCGGTACTGGATTAGTAGTGGTAGATCTCATACAAGTAACGACCAACTTCGGTTAAATCTAACAACCTTAAACTGAAAAAAAATCATCATTTGATCACATCACTACCACCTTTCAAATCCCGACAAGAAAGTTAATCAAAAACACCTTTTTAATTCATTTGGTGGCCCTGAAAATGACCGTTTTTTTTGTCTGAGTCGATGATGCTAATTTATCCTCCGTATCCGTACAGAGTATAGTCGCTATATTCATAGTCTGGCGGATAGAATCTCGGGAACCAATTGAGCTGTCAAATAGCGGAACCAATTGAGCAAATCACGACTAACAACAGAAAAGAGCACATCAGCTATTGCGAACAAAACGTCGGAAACCATTTTCTCGTGACTCAAGGCTCGTCTACGCAAACTAATACCATCTTTGGGTTGTGGAAAGTTTCCCTTATCCGATGATGCCGGTAGTTTGCGTTCGATTGGCATGGAAAGAATAATTTACGTTTGTTTATAAATGTTGATAGTACCTTTTCCATTGTTGGTCTAAAATATATTGAATTGGTTCCACTTTTTGATAGATCGAAATTCTATCCGCCAGACTATGAATATAGCGACTATAGAACAGAGTGCGTCCCTGCCGATTCAGAGCGTAAATGACATCCATTGCGGTGACGGTCTTCCTCTTGGCGTGTTCGGTGTAAGTAATGGCGTCACGAATAATGTTTTCCAAAAACACCTTCAACACGCCTCTGGTTTCCTCGTAAATAAGCCCGGAAATTCACTTGACTCCACCACGACGAGCCAGACGACGGATGGCAGGTTTAGTTATGCCATGAATGTTATCACGCAGCACTTTTCGATTACACCGAGTTCTTTTCCTCCCTTGCCGCGTCCAGTCATTGCCAATTAATGGTAGATGTATCTTCGGTGAAGGTTGAAACGAAAGTGATAAAACCTACTTGAGCACCTAACTACTTAAACTAGGTTGCCAAATCACGAATGATCTGGTGGTTTGATCGCAGACAGGCGACTCTGAACCTTTCCAGCGTGGAAGTCTTTCGCTCCTCGAGTGTTTGAAGACCGGCCAGGTGGTCAATCTCAGAATTTCGAGTTCGCGGTGGACTGTTAAGGATCATTCTGAGGATCTTGTTTTGGATCCTCTGAAGCTTTAAGTGGTGGCACTTAGCACAACTCTCCCAGATTGGCATACCATACTCAATAGCCGGCAGAATGATTTGCTTGTGGACAGCAAGCTTGTTTTTGAGGGACAGGGTGGACTTCCTGTTTATCAGAGGGTAGAGCGACCTGATCAAGATGTTACACTTGGTGGATGTTTTGTCCACATGGGATCGGAATAGCAATTTGCTATCGAGGGTGAGACCAAGGTAGACTACTTCACTCGACCATTCAATGAGAGTGCTATCAAGATGGATCTTGACGTTAGCAGGCGGGACAAGCCGAGGTGAATACGAATGTGGAAACAGAATGGTTTGTGTTTTAGCTGCATTGATACAAATCTTCCAGCTCTTAAAATAGTCGGACAAAACATCCAGGCCTGATTGTAGTTTACTCGCCAGAGCACGGATCACTCGACCCTTATAGATGATGGAGGTGTCATCTGCTAACATTGACAGGATACCACCACCCGGCAGGGGAGGAACGTCTGACGTGAAAATGTTGAATAGGATAGGCCCAAGCAGGCTACCTTGAGGGACCCCTGCATCAACGTTGAACGTATCAGAGGAGACATTGTTCAAGTAGACCTGGAATGATCTGCCCGACAAGTAGTTTTTGATGATCTTCACGAGGTAGTTCGGAAAG